CTTAGTAAGATCGTGTTTAGCTCAATGTAATTGAACTACTTCAGGTTCAAGAGAAAATTCTAATATCGTTTTACGACCCTTTACTGGGACAGTAAGTACGTGAGGTTAGGTGTTAATATTCGAGTCCCTGCCTTTTACTTCTATGCGACATTGCTCTATTCCTAACAAAAAACTGTCAAATTAATCGTTTCTACTTAACCCACAGTCATTGGAGTGTGACTGACGTGAGGTATTGTCATTGTGTGCAGCAGACGTAATAATGTCGACTGCACAATAGCTACGCGACCACGCGTACTATTATTAAACTGCAGACATCGACAGATTTTCCACACACATTTTTTTTCAGTTATAAAAAAAACAGTTTTGAAGGAAATTTTGCATGAAAATGAGGTCATTACCAAGTTCATTGTTATTTATTTCGAATGCTATTTAGATACCGAACATTAGAGACTCATCTACATAAACTCGGGAGGTCTTTGACACTGTAGTCTAAGATTTATTGAAAAGGTGTTTTGGTACCGTTGAACAACAATTTAAATTAATGGACTCTCATTACGTTCATATACGTGGGCCTTTACATAAAGGTGTCATTGTCACTGATTTAGGCCTAATTAATATTAGTATGGCGAAATTTTCTAAGTATAGATAGATAGATGGATGGATGGATCTACTTGACACAGAGATTTAAAGTCTGAAAGAATATGAAGTCTGATGAGAAGAAGAAGTGGTTTGTACAGGCCAACGATTATGGCGATTATGGCATAACAAATGAGAATATTGAACGTGGTTGCCATTTGCTTTCCTGTGGGTTGCACTGACAAGCTAAACAGGCGCTGAAGATTTCATACTATTTTATAAGCAATTAACAACTATTTATTACACATTTATCGTATACCATAGTAATATAAAATCGATCACAAGTAAAGGATTTTCTACTTTAGTTTAATTCCTATGTAGATACATATCTTAAACCAGCCCATTGTTTGTGTTTTGAAAATGATTGATCGATTTTATTGATAGATTTTCGTTATCTTTGGTTTTTTGGATTCTGTACTTTTTTGTACATTTTAACAAACTAGTATTTTATATACATACAGAAAACATGTATTGCTTCAAGGTTTTTTGAATACAGTATACAACAACTTTACATACAGCAAGTTTACATTCAGCATTTTAAATAAATTACTTATGCAAATACATAAAAAAATCGATTAGCTCAACTTAATTTGATCTAGTTCATAAGTCATTGAAATTAAATATATTTATTTTTTAATCTAAATATAGACTTGACAACGGTACTACAAAAAAGTAATCGCCATTACATTTAGAATCGAGGCACGTGATGCCCATGTTCCTATCTATCATAGTATTGCAATACAATATTGTTTGGACGCGAGTCATGTGATACCTACACACGTCTGGTTCCGACCAATTAACTTGACCTCTATTATCCCCTCCAAAGTATGTTAATACAAGAGAACAAAGGGATATGTTATGAGTCAGCAGGGTTCATTTGTGACTGGCCACGGTCTGTGCCTTTCACAAAACAAGAGTCACGTGATGAGCGTAAGGAGTTGTGCTACTTATTTTTAAGTGTGTATCTATTGGGAGGATTTATGCTGTATGGGTGAGCCATTGCTTAGTGAAAGGTACACAGACATTAGAAGCACCTCGATCCTATCACACGTGGTGTGCTTAAGCTTGGAGAGCGGTCGTAACCTGTGTCGCGAATATCGACAAAAAACAATTTGCAATAATGTATTCAACACTATTTGCTTATTATTATTTCTCAACAATTATAATTATTAAAACAATATAAATTACTGACGAAATTAGATAACGTAAGCTCTGAATAAAGAAAGTAAGTGTTACGAAATAGGTCAAGAATAAAAGACTTCAACGCTCATGAAACGGTAATGTGAGATATTAAAGACATTTTTTTAATAATTGAATGAGTTCTAATATTGTTTTATTATTATTTATAGTGTTTTATTTTTTAAATATTCTTTGGTCCATTGTTGTTGGGGTTGCGGATGTAAGCGCAGTAACGTACCGTGGCCCAAGTCCGGAGCAGTAGAAGGAATGAGTTTGTTTTTGTCAGTATGAGTGCGACATTTCCTCTCACTCCACCCAGGGCCGGAAAATCCTCGAATATTTAAAAAAATATATATTTATTAAACTTCATATTATTATAACTATATTAACGCCCTCATCCCGAGTTACGTGAGACTAATAAATATTTTTAAATTATATTTTTAATTTCTACGTTTTTTTTATTCAACCAAAATTTTATACTTTATATCTTATAAAAATGTTAAAAAAGTAGACCTAATTATTTACATATTATATTAGAGAACATAAGAGTTGGACCAATGGACACAATGATCACTGCGTAAGGGGTATAAGATTGAGAACATGGGTTTTCGATTTCTGTAATTAAACTTTTATGAATCATATTGTTTAATAACTGATAATTAATAAAACAAGTTTCTCATACATGAGGGTTTATAACCTGGTCAGAAGCAATGTGCACTTTTCCGAGTTATAAATATATCCGTTCTAAGACTATTTAGACATCATTGACAAGTGAAGGATAATATCGTGAGAAAATCTAGACTATTTGTTTGTAATTATAAGTTTAAAACCGCCAGTCCACCTTCAGCATGACTGATGATTATTCCAAATTCTTGATGATTGCTTCGGATTGAGCTGTTATAAGTTGATCATGATGTTAAAAAAGTCTTACTTTTCGAAGCCGTAGGCAGAAGTGAACTTAAATACATGCAGCTCAAGGTTTATATTAACATAATGTCAGTTCATCCGATATTACATTCCTATGGTTTAAATATTTTTCCTTTTGGTTCCCGAAAAACAATAAATTATTTATTTACTAGCTACTCTCACGCTGTTTCACCCGCTGTTCAGCTCCATTTGATAGTAGCGTGATGTGTTATAGCCTATAGCACTCAGGAACATTGTAGCTATCTATCAGTGAAAGAATCTTGGCAATCCGACTAGCAGTTCCAAAGATTACCCCCTACATACAAACTTACAAATTTTACCTCTTTATAATATTAGTATAGATAAGTAAAAAAAAGGATTTTACTTCCTCTTTACGAAAAAACACAATGATCTAAGTTATTATCATATTTAGATTTATAATATTATAATTTTATTATATTCTTCCATCATTTTATTATGGGCGTGATTTATATTCTCTAACTAAATAGGTAGTTTAAACATATAGGTGGCATATTGTCTGCAAAAAATCTGTATTTACTATATTTATTGGTAAAATTTGTATTTTATAAGTTTGTATGTAGGGATAATCGTTGGAACCGCTGGTCCGATATCCAAACTTCTATCATTGGTAGATAGTTACAATATTTTTTTTTGTATTTGCAATAAACTAGTGCTTGACTGCGATCCCACCTGGTGGTAAGCAGTCATGCAATCGTTGATGGTAAGGCGCACTAGTTTATCAAGAGCCTGATCTATATTTCAATAATGACAATACAATATTCCTTAGCGCTATAGAAGCTAAATGGAGCCGAGAAGCGGGTGAAACCGCGTGAGATTAGCTAGTTAATTATAAATCAGTTAGACTTTAAGACACTGAAACAAGCCTTATTATCTCAGCCATAACTTAGAGCAAGTGGTACACGTAGCGCCATCTAGTTAAGGTTGTAGTAAATAAAACGGCTACAGTACTTGTTCAATGTCGATTACTTGTTTATTTACCGTAGCAAGTACTTGAGGTATTACGTGTGTACGGAGCAAGTTCTGTCTAGAAATTGTAGGTGGCGTTGCTTTCTTATGTAGTATATTAGTACTTACTAGGTATTTTCCATAGAATTTTAGAGAGCTCATTGTGGTATTAGTTTGTTTACGTATGTTAGTGTGAAAGAGCGTGGAACTAATTATACATTTATAGTTTTAATAAATCATGTTAGGTTACGTTAGTATTTACTTATCTGGCTTGTAACTGTATTTCAGCTCAATCTTCACCTTTCAGGCGTTACTTAAACTACTCACATTAAAACAAAGATAGTATGTTACTTCAAATTCTAATTATAATTTTAAAATATTGTTTACAATAATTCTATACATGTAATTCGATTTATCGTTATAGCAAAAATGTGTCTGTAGGATCGCAATAAACTGAGAAACTGCCGCATGGATATTTGTTCGCTTTTTTCATCCATTTGATTAAACTGAAGGTGAAGGTTAGTGGGAGATTTTTTAGGAAAATGTTTATTTAATAATAATTAATATTAAATTATTTAATATTAATTTCTATATTAATAAACCGTGTGGAGAATTGTTTAGTAGTAAGTAAGTTGGCACTCGATAGCAAATATTTATGATCGCTTCATTAATATGGTGCTTAATCAAAACTTTTGATTCCTTAATTTTTTTTTCTTTTTGTAAATAAATATTGTATTATGTACAGCTATATTAAAAAAATTGTATTCAATTTTATTGGTCAATTTCGTTTAAATAATTTTGAAACAATGTAACTTGATATGGCTAAAAAGAGTTCCGATATGTCGAACCGATTTAAGTTCAATCAGTTTTCATTTTAGATAGTTTACAGATGCGAGTGAATATGAAATGCAACATCGGTGGAAGTATTATCACAAAAAAAATATTAAGCCCTAAAGTAGTTTAGAAAAGGATAGTCTGTACACTTGTGAACTTTTCAAAACCAGAATTAGATAAATACTATAATAGGTCACGAGTAGTACCTTATATCCTACCAGTATCCTACAAATTCTACTAATATTTTAGATGTGAAAGTTCATAAACATTTATGGATGTGTATCTTTCATCTTTCAAGCAAAACCGCGGGACCGATTTGATTGAAATTTGGCATATAGATAAGTGATACCCTGGATAAACACATAGGCTTTTTGTCAACATACCACGCAGGTAAAGCCGCGGGCGGAAGCTAGTCTTCCATATTGGAAGGATAATTTACGTAGTAAGTGGTTACATACCTGTCCGATGGCAGATTTTCTCGATCCTTACTGGACTCGTCGGCCATGATGGAAACTTTTCTCTTTCCTTCTAGTGAGGGGACGGAGACGCGAGGTTTGATCGCTGGTGGGTTTGGTTGCGTTGCCGCAGGTTGCGTTTGCGCAGGCTGCGTTTGCGTTGGTCGCGTGTCACCGGCGACGCTCGGTTGATTTTGTAAATCGCTCAAGTCGAAGGGGTATTCCTTTATAGCAGTCATTCGGATGCTCGTCTTACGAACCTGGAAATATAAAATTAATTATAAGTCAAAACATTAAAATAAAATTAAATTATAAGAAGTGTTTCTAAAGTTATTAAAATCTTTTAATAAACATTATATATGTATTTATGTTGAATAACATAAGATATATGAAAAAAGAACACAAACATTATAATAAGCAGGTCTAATATTTGCTACAATTTTAATGTTACAAAATATTTGATAATTAATGGTGTATATAAATGTGTAGAAAATACTCCTGTATAGGATTAATTTTTTCCTGCTTCGGTTTTTTACCCGACTGCCAAAGAAGGAGGGTAATGTTTTTCGAGTGTATGTAAGTATGTATGTATGTCTTTTCCTTTGTGACCTCCTGTAGCCTAAACGGCTTGATGGATTTTGATGTATGAGGTATCGTTAGATTTGTCTTGATTACGGGAGTGTCATAGGATACATTTTATCCTAAAAGTCCCACGGGATAAAGACATAATAATATTTTTTCTAAATAAAAACAGCTAAAAAGTTATAAATAAAAAAAATATTATTAAAAAAACAAAATACCCGACTGCACACTAAAAAAAGAGTAAAACAAGCCCCACAATACAAATTTACTGAATATAATTTATAAATGTTGATGGAAAGCATCGCAGGCGGGGACCACCTTGACCGCCACCAACGAAAATTCTGCTAAATGGTGCACAACAGAAATGACTATAAATAAGCCTCTGTTGGTCCCCGCCTGCGATGCTTTCCATCAACATTTATAAATTATATTCAGTAAATTTGTATTGTGGGGCTTGTTTTACTCTTTTTTTAGTGTGCAGTCGGGTATTTTGTTTTTTTAATAATATTTTTTTTCAGGAGAAAAAACCTAACGTTAATATTATTATAGGATCTAAAAGTCATATTTATTTAACTATATGAATATAATTATAAAATAATAATCAAATTACATTTTATAAAAAAAAAACAAGTCACTTGTTGCACTACTAACTACGATTACTGCAATATATGAGCTTATGTATCTAGCTTGGTTAATAACATCACGATATTTTTCTATTATCTCCCCAATCACAAAGAAAAGGTAAACCATAAAAGCACAATATTAAAATATTTTTAAATAACTATTAATATTTTGGCACACACCCTAAAATATTGGTAGTCCGATACATGTTGAATCGATTTACGTTACAATAGGTAAACTTTGGAAATGACGCGATTATCGAATAAAAGCTGCGCCCGCGTCGATCAATGTCTGACAGTGGACTGAAGAATGGCGCGGCTAAAATTTACAATTTCAGGTTTCAGCAAAGAAGCCTCCGGAGACTTCACAGATAAGTTCTAAGTGGCGATGGCTCAATGCCTCGTGAGGATGTGGTTCTGTGGATATGCTAATAACTTATTTCGTCATCAGCATGTGCATTATCATCAATGGAGATATTAAAGGTGTTGATTGTTTGTATTGTGCTAAAACACTCTACTGATTTGTTGTTCATTACTTGTTATAGTTGTTATTCTTCGGAGTCGGTGCTCCGTAGTGTAACTGCACAATATGCGCAATGATGTGTGATTGTGTTGCAAATGATCGGAGGTAAAGTGTTACGTTGACACTATTGTCGACTCTAAGAACTACAGATTAGAGGCGTGGCTTTTTGAATTAGATATGTGTTTTAATTAATTTTCACTTCGATTTCATGTTGTAAATTTGAACCTTATGTCAAGGTCTTAGTTAGGACATTCAATAGAAATATGTACCTACAAAGTTAGAGGCAGTAAAAATAAAGTAATAATTATGGAAATTTTACTAAACGACATCATACAGACAATAATAATTTAAAGGAATAACTTCTAAATTCGTTAAAACTTTTAAAACTGCACGCGAAGGTCCTGAAATAAGTAATTGTATAAGATAATTTGTTTGCTATCTGTGTAATGTAGCTCAGCTCATTGTGGATTAGGTACAGGGACTAAAATCTTCAACATATTACTATATTAAGGTAGATATCTCAATTGGAGGTTATCATCATTTAAAAAGTATAGTACTACTACGTCTTACTTAAAAAACAAAAGAACCTAACCAATAATTTTCTTTTTTCCGACAAAATGTAATAGCAACAAGAAATGCTATTATATATTTTATCCAATGGGCGTTTCTTTTATATTTTCTTAGTTTAACATAACAGTTTTGAGATAAGAAACATAAAAAAATGTTCGTTCATTTATTTACCAAATGTTTGCTATCGTTTTTAGATATGTTCTTCCGAGATGCGATTCTAATTCGTTGATCATTAGGTTAGTATTTATTTAACATAGAGATTCTTTTTAAATAAGGATGACAATTACAAACTTCACGACCAACCTTTGTACTGGAACCAACCATACTATAAAGCCCTTACTTTTTTTATGGGACAAATCTGCCGCACCCTCCCTTACCGCTGCCACTCCTGTAAGCCAGGATCTACACTAGATACAAATATGAAAACACCGAAACACTAAAGTCTGGCGCGTCCCAGGGACATGAATGACTGTATTGGATCCCACAACGAAATAAATAAATTTGAGGAGAAGAGAAAACGAAATAGCTTCCACTAAACCCTTACTTAACAAAAATAGTATTCAAGCTGCAGTACAAAACTAGATTTCTATCAGCTTAGATAGAAATCTCGACCAACCTCAAGAAAGATAAGCCTGGACAAACAAATTCAACCTTCAAACCTGATACACATAACAAGATTGTTTTAATCATGACATTTCTAACCATGTCACAAATAATGGAATTTTTCATTCCAATCAGATCTCCTCACTCAGATTGAGTAGGTAGATTGTGTCCACGTAAAGGATACCTTAATATTTTCCTTTCTAGTTTTTGTTTTATGAGATAAGTCGGCAAACGTGCAAGTGGATTACCTTATGGAGACCACCAAAGGAGACACGAGCCGTTGCCGGCCTTTTAGGGATAAGGGTCTCGGATATTTAAGGATTGGGAAGGGATAAGGGGAGCAGGAGATGTAGGTATTGGATCTAACCTGATCCTAACCTAACTCACACGTCGAAACACAACGCTGTATTTGTTTCACGCCGGTTTTCTGTGAGGCCGTGGTCCGGTCGAGTCGACCCATTCGTGTCGAAGCTTGGCTCGCCCATATCATTTAGTTGCTAAGGAATTTCCCACAAGTGATCCAAAACTTGCCATTATCAATAATTTGCACTATTTATAATGGCAAATTCCAGCAATATTTACAAAAATCATATGTATTTGAGTTAGCTGATAATTATGTTTACTTAAAGTCACAAGGATGATAAACATAATGCTAATAGTATTATTGTACTTTTTGTAACCCGCTTAGATGTGTATATTTAAGGATTAACAAATCAATACAGATCTTGGCTATAAATAGTACACCAAGTCGTTGGTCTGTGAAAACACTTAGTAAGTTATTTTTAAATTTTTGTAGGTGTTCCAGTATAGTCTATACCTTATATATTTCATAATAGGTAGTTTTATAGATACTAAATATAAATTTGAAGAGTTTTTTTGTTTATTTTAACTAGCTGATCCCCTGAACTGCAAGTTTTGTTTTTGAAGAATGCTAGATATCACCACACTAACACTGATCACTGGAAGTAAGTAAAACCTTGGAGCAGTAACTAGTATTGTTTTAGAAATAACTTATTTGTCTTAGTTTAATAACAAAAGACCTTATTTAATTTACAATACAAATTTCTTAATAATTGCATACCACAGTCTTAACAATTGTTTTCGCAACCGTGTATTTGGTGGGCGGGCGGATAAAAGTACGCATTTAAAATTTTATTTTTCATAATTTTGCATTTTAATTGTTTTGGCAAAGTGCCTAGTTACTTGAGTGACCATGCATTTATATGGAACACTGGTGAAGTGCTGTGAAATTACCTTATTTACATTCATAAAGAGGTAGTTGCCATATCATATAAAACAATATTAAATTCGAAAAAGGTTGACTTTAACAACATTACAGTTTTATCTTTTTTATGAATTTGGGTTGCTAGCTTTTATTTTCTGTGGTGATAAATTCAGGCGTTAAAGCCTAGTTAACAATCAAATCTGATAAATAAGTGAAGAAGTCGTGTGCTGGAGGCGTAGATTAAGTTAACATTGTTTTCATAGTTGAGTGGCGACCCATTGAATTATTTAGGTGAGTGTGTCTTAAGCTAGTTGTCGGCGGGCAGCGGTCGCGGGTGTCACCAGTAGCGTTTATTTGCTTAAGTGGTCTCATCACAATCACATGATCACTCACGAGAAGGCGACCACGAGTTTCCAATCATGTCCATACGAACGTATGCGTCGACACGCGCTCTCGCAACGCTTATCGCTTCCAAACAATTAAACGGATTGCTCACCCAATCATCGTCGTGACGTAGTGTTACGATATCTTAATTAGAAGGTAAAGGACAATGGCCTCTGTGGTAGAGCAATGAGACGCTGTAACCGGCCCTTGGGACTCTGTAGGTCAGCAAGGCCGAGTATTCAGTACCATTTTTTTAAATATCATTTATGAGTTTCCTGTGTTGAATATGAATCGTGTTATTTTCCTTTGTACACTATTTTCCTTAGTCATTGAAATACTTTAATGGGTTCTACAACAAATCTACCGTGTTTAAGATTTTTTATTAAGAAAAATAAGAGTTAATATTCATTGTACGGTTTAGGAAGTAAAGTGGCGTCACGGTTCAAAAGACTTGATTCTACTATTATGTGTCAAGTTTAGATCTCGTAACTTGTTCTTATGATCGGAAAATTTCCTGTCATCTCGTACATATCAATTTAGGTTTTAGGACATGAAACTTCGTTATAGTCAGATAGCATTAAACACATATTATTATTATTGTAATGTGTCGTGGTGGCCCCGAGGTTAAGCGCCCGCTTCTCATGCATGAGATGTGGGTTCGAAACCAGGCAAGTACCAATGTGACTTTTATATATGTTCTTTCTTTTTGTACTTTTTAGTTATATGTACTTTCTATGATTATTTAGACACCAC